TTGGGCGCGCTTAACTGCTTGCAGATTGGGATGAAAAGCTCATTTGATCAGGGTGCGATGAACAGGGTGCCGTCTACAGCTCAGAAAGTTACGCAGGCCCATGTTTGCAGAATGACAGTTTGCTTTCTACATCGTTTGAGGGCGGAACTTGGTTGCACACTGCCGTGGCAAGGCTCTTTTGCGGCCTGTGAGCCTGGGGCCTCGGCCTCCTATGAGCACATTCGGGCAGAAGCCGTTGACCTTCCAGTGAAAGCCGCTACATGCAATGCTTCCCAGCTGGTGGGTGAAGAGCTTCGGGCACAGTTACGGGCCGCTACAAAAGTTTTCCCCTCCAAGCCTAGCGTGAGCATGAACCAGAGCGTTCCTTCAGATCAGCGTGCTCAGTACGTGGCTTTGACAGTGCGTGAGCTGCGCTGTGGAAAGCTAAACCTTCGACCAGACGTTGCTGGGATTGGCGGTGTTTTTGCTGCAGCTAAATCTGGTGGCCGACAACGGAAAATATGGAACGGTGCTGACCTGTCACAAGTGGCAGCACGACCGCCAAAGCCTAGGCGTTTGGCAAGTCCTGCTTCTTTCCTTGACATAGAAGTGGAGCGTGGGCAGCCGCTCTTCTTCTCCAAGCGTGATGCATCTACATTTTTCGACGTTTTACGGGTCCCAGAAGGTTTGCAGACTTACTTTGGCCAGCCGCCTGTGTCTGTGAAGGAGCTCTTGCGCGCAGGCATGAGCATGACAGAGGTTTGGGAGGCTTGCAAAGACGTTGCACGTGAAGATTTCTGTGAGGACTTTTGCCTGTACCCTGTACATGCAGTGTGGCCCATGGGTTTTTCTTGGTCTTCAGCAGTGGCACAAGACACTACACTGGCGGTGTGCGTGGCCGCAGGGATTCCTGAACAACAGATTCTTTGTGTGGACCATGACACACCAGCCTGCCATGATGAGGTGTGCTTTGTGGCGACAGATGATACCGTACTGGTTCACAAAGATCCTGCACATGCAGCAAAGAGGTTAGAGAAGCTCGACAAGGCCTTCGAGGAGAAGCATGTTCCGAGGAATCCGGCCAAAGACGTCTCGCTTGCTCAAAGTCTTACTGCCCTAGGTTGCGACCTTTCTAGCCAGCCTGCCGTTGCACAGCCAAATCGCAAGAAGCTTTTTGCTTGCATCTGTCACACAATCGACCTGCTCAGCCATGGAAAAGCCAGTCCTTTGGGTCTCAGCTCCAATTTGGCTGTATGGGAATGGTTTGCGCTGCTTCAGCGTGGTTTCTTCTCTATTTACGATGCCGTATATGGTTTTGCAAGGCGGGACCGGCCAGCTGAAGTGACCACGGTGCCACCTCCTGTCTTGAACGAGATGTTGGTCACCTTGCTTTTGGCTCCCCTCTTGACTGCTCAGCTTGACAGACCACCGCTGCCTCAACTAATCGCTGCTGATGCTGCTCCTGAGTTCGGTTTTGGAGTGTCCGTGTGCGGGTGCTCCAAAGCGGAAGCGGCCGAGGTGTGCCGCTTGGCAGAGCGGCGTGGCGATTATGTACGACTCACTCCTGAGGAGGACGACGATGCTTACGTCCCTCGTATCGGCAAACCGCGACAGCTTGGCTACACCCAGCGTGACTTCACCACGGTCATCTCGGCCAAAGCCAGGTGGCGCGCTCACTCTGGAGTCTTGGAGGCGCATGCTTTTCTACTTGCGCTCAAATGGGTTTGCAGACATCCAAAGAAGCACGGGCACAAATTACCTTTCTTGATTGATGCCAAAGTGGTGGTGGGCGCGGTCACTAAAGGTAGAAGTTCGGCACGGTCTCTGCGGACATGTTTGCGCTCAATAGCAGCCCATGTGATGGCAGCCAACCTCTTGCCCCGCCTTGTTTACATTCCCAGTGAGTCAAATCCAGCAGACTTGCCAAGTCGGGGGAGGCGTAAGCGTCCACCTCCAAGCCGGCCAGTACGCAGCAGAATTGGCAAGGGAAAGTTTCCTTGCAGGGCTTCAGGGTTGGTTTTGGTTTAGGGGTTTTCGTTTGTTTAGTTCCTTTGTAGAGGCCTTTCCACTGTCGCTCTCTCAAAGGTCACCGGGTATGCAGCGAGCTGCTTGCGCGCCCTGAGCGCAGGCATCTCGACCAGCTGCAGGAGAGGCTGGATGCTGTTTCCTTTGTGAAGGGCTCCCACGATCTGCTCCATTCGTGATGTTTTTCTTGGTTTGGTGTGGAACGCCTCTGATGCTGCGGAAGAGTGGGCATGCGACCTACGAAAAATCTTTCTGCGGCGGCTTGTTCGAAGCCACCAGTGCGGGGAATTGGGTGGACAAATGGAGCAGCTGATG